GCCACCGTCACGGGAACGACCACCGGAGGCGCAGACTTCTGAAATTATACACTTTACTGCATGCCACCATACTAAACACCACATATCATAACAAGTCATATTACAGAACATTATCTATTGTCAACAATGTATTTACCGTTTGCGCCGGCAGTTGCTGGACCTGCTTCTTCATCTTTTTTTTGGAGGGCTTTCCTGAGCTCGGTCCTGCAATAGTTAGCAGCATATGAAGCGCGTTGCCAACAACACAAACACAAAACGTACAAATCAAACATCATACATACCGATTTCGTTCCTAAGCTGTAAAATACGTTCTTGGTCTCTTTGGAGAGACTTTTTTTCTTTATTATAACAAGCATTACTTTCAAATACTTGACCTAGAATGGATATATTATGTTGTATTAAACATGTTAACCTAAAACAGTCGTCGTTCTACGAAATAATGGAAAACAAAGAGAAATTCTGTCTTGACATAATCATGTATAAACACAGAGTAATCGGTTAAGGAAATGAACCAATGCAACTGGTGCGAACTATGCCAATACCATTAACTTCAGATCTCAGGGCGGTGTAAATAAAATTCAATATATGTTACTTAAAAGTTTTACTTAATTTCTGTTATATATTTAAGTATATACACTTATTCCCACTCAACCTTATCGACTAATAATTTTAAGTCATGATGGTCGATTAAATAAATCTTACATAATTTTTACGTGGTGTTTCTGTTCACACTTTCAATACATAAATAACAAATGTTGCGCCAAAGTAATCATTGCACCAACTATTACTTTCTTAACAAACAACCGTCACAATAGAACATATATTCTGTACATGTGTTACTTCGATTAGCAAAATAACATAAGTTCACATCTCGTGTGACAAATATAATCTCCTTTAATTCATTTATTTGCAAATTTCTACTAGAGTATACAAAGGGAATCATTTGTTCTGTCGCGTGAACCCAGCGAAATGGGAACACACCTACACATTCCGTCAGTGGGACACAACCGACCGAAACTTAAAACCTAACGCAATCTTTTCAACATTTAAGTGGTCAGGAATTTTAAAATTACTATTATATTTAACAGATAAAACCTTATACTAATATATATTATTATGTACGTATTAGATAACATTTGTTATATAAATAGGCAAATGTCGATCATTTGCTTTTATATATACAAACATTTGTTAGCCACTATTAAGTGTCGCTAAAGTATATTGTACTGTCAGAGTCATACAAGGGCCTAACACGAAAATTTGAGAGAAAGTATTCGGCACTGACAACTTGAACAAAATTTGTATTAGTATTGTGCCGCGCTCATATCGACCTAAGCAAACCGACATATATCATACAAATGTTGATGACGTAACGAATAATTTCTCGGAAATGTTCATGCTATTACTGGTATTACTGCCACATTCAGAGTGGTAGCCTAAGTCCTTTAGTGCAAATTGCACTAAACCTACACTAAAGGATTCCCTTAGTGAACAAAACACCAGTGAGTGCGGCAGATAACCTCCCAATAGCGGTCAACGTGCGCGCCACACCTACTATTAGTGTAAATGAATCAAAAGTCATTAGTACACTAAATAAAACCGAAATATTCTATTAAAATTTAATATTCTATTTAACTATTTACGAAGTGTTTAATAAATAACATTATTTATTTAGATTTTTTAAATTTACGTTGTGACCGATGTTGACCACTTTGGAAGCTTCGACACTGACTGTACTCGAACTACATATGTATAACAATTTTTCATCGGTCTCTTATTTTTACTGTCAATCGGTATCGCCCACTTCACCTGTGTGGGACCATACATCTAACTTACAATAAGACTTTTAGAATTATCGAATTGTACTTGGGGGAAAAACATTTATAGTGCTTGTCGAATTTCATCATTAAATATACTACTTTCAGAAACATGAGGAATGTAAAATTTTCATATGAATTCATTCAATGGACCAAAGACTTATTATAAAATACTGAATTATCGACTCTTGATAAATCCTTAAAACGTGATATTACGTATAAAATAATAATTCGTGTCGTAATTTCATCTTAATAGGAAGATTAACATTACAACAATGTACATCTACTAGATATAAAAGTGACATCGACCGACTCGAACTAAACTAGAGACTTTACTCTTTACAGTCACAAACTTTTACAATCATTGCATTAACATAAGTTAAAAATAATTTATTTGTTCCTTAATTTATAATATTCGACAGTGTTCTAAATTGATTTCAATTACAAAAAATGTAAAAAACAGAATTCTACCACAATTGGAAGATATGCATGATCACTTCAAAATGTATTACATGCCGCATGACAAAAAAAATAAAAAAATACAAGTGTACATAGAGCTTCAACAGCTCTTTAATAAATAATAAACTAATTGTTTCATTTTGTATTATTCAGCTGCATATCAACAACTGCAGTATACATTGTATGTTTAGACTGAATGTGACATACACCTTTTAGCAGAAACTCTAATATTTACAATGTATATTAAGTATATTTATAACCCTAAAGATGGATGGAAGAGAATTTTCAATACAAAAAGTCACAATTTAAAGTTAAAATAATTATTATAAATCTTATTAAAAATTTCAGATTTCTAATGAGTATCGCTTTTAAGAAAATAATTGTGGATATTAAAAAAGTTTAAAAGTAAGATAACACTGCTACATTCAGTTTACTAACAACTGTTTTATAGTTGCTGCATTGTTTTCTTCTACCATTTTAAAATAAAATTGAAAAAGTTCATAGAGCTAATAGACTAGAAATCAGAATAATATTAGCGTTGTAATTCTAATCTAAACATTTACTTTGAGACATCCTAATGCGGCGACTTTCGAGATATTTTTACTTCGACATCAATGTGTAAAGCACCCTTGTTAAGTTAACGCGACTTATTGCACCATTCTCCTCCCTCCTTCTTGCGGATAAACTACACAATAGTTGGTACAGAATTGATTTAGTACAGTCATCCAGCTGCCAAACGATAAACATTACAGAGTATTACTTGTACTAAGCTAGAAAAATTATACACTCGAAAAGGGCCACATAAAATTTATAATATAATCTATAACATAATGATAACGATAGTCAATGAGAGAGGTTTTGCAAACAATTTGTGAAGGAAGGAGGCCAGCTTAGGTATTCGGTCATCGTAAACAATTTTGATCACACGTAACATGACAATTTTTGAGAGCAAGCATCCAAGAGTGTCAAGCGTTAAACCAATAAAACCATACCTTTTCAAAACAAGATAAAATTTTTAACTACAACATGTCACAAGAAACACAGTGGTGCAACAAGGGGCCGTGTGTCGCCTGACAGCTTGCCATGCCGCGTGGAATCCGTCCTTACACAATTGTTTGCATTACGTGTGCCTTGCACGCGCACCGCTCCCCGCACTAACATTGACCCGTCAATTACACACGCAAAAGCAATCAGCGCCGTGAGATCTGAAGTTCCGATAGCTATTTGTAAAGAGATCGAAAATTTTAAGGATGCAAATGAAACAACACCGCATTTGAGGACATGATATAGTTAAAAATATTAATGTGAAAAGGTATTTCCTATTGGTTTATGAGAGCAAACCAAACGGTACACGTCACCGGCACCAGTTACACTGTATCGGCGTACACCAAAGCTGGCTTCACCTCCTTACCGACTATCGGGTGTTTGTGCCTTTAGCGCTACCGCGATCGCATTCTACACCGCACGCGTCGCTCAACGAGCGCCTCGCCTCGGGAGACCGGCCGCCTTCACACAGTGTATAACCCACGCACTCAATATCACAGAACTGACAAAACCT